GCATATTTCAAATGAGATGGCAGTGGATAAGGGACCTTGCTATTTGAGCTTGACGGTCTACATGCAGTCTGCAAAACACACATAAAGACAGAAGGAGACAACTGACTCTAGAAGTTGTCACAGCCTCCACATATGTATCGGTCCCAATAAGATAATATACATTATACAGAGTAATAGAATATCAAAACTATGTTTAAAATATAATTGTTAAAATAATGTATAATAACACAACCTAGTGGCCTAATGAAAAGAAAGAGAAAATATTTGCAAATAATAGTTATGTTGGAGAGTGATAAAAGAACATAGCAATACTATATACTGAGAGGCAATGTTTGAATTGAGGCGCTTAATTTGAGAATTTGGAAACCATAACCAAAGTATTACACCAACCTCCCCACATCTCAAACTAGCAATGTGTATTATACTCCAGTTGAATAAATTAGCATATATTCAAGAGGCAAGCCATAAGTAGAAGTGCCCATGTCTTAGATCTGGGTTCAGTGGGTTCTCTGTAGAGGCCAGATGGCACATGTTTTAGTACACAGAAGGCCATGTGTTTCATGTTATAACTGAGCAACATTGCCTTCACTGGAAAACAGTCAAAACAATATATAAACAAGTTAATGTACACATGTGCCAATAAAAACTTATTTTCAGACACTACTGTGTAACTGTCACTCAATGTTTGCAAGTATAAATTATTCTGCTTGTCGTTTTTTTCCTTCAAATTTTAAAAATGAAACAATGGGGGCCATAGATGACCAATCTCTTCTATTTATCAAATGGAAACAATATAATACCATTGGTAAATTGACAAAACAATTGCGAGACGTAAATTGGAGATTATATGTACCTAAATTAAACATGCAAATCTAGTCCACAACTGTCTGTACTTTGGGTCCCGACAGCTTCTTCCATTCCCTATGAGGTGAGTCTAGAGCCTCTTATCCCTAGTTAACCTCCACAATGAGCTTCACATTTACACATCCTTTTTTTCTACCCACAATGAGGACAGGATCCATCAAACTCATTCTAATGCCATCTGCTACTTCCTTACCAAGATAGAAGCACACATCATCCTACCATACAACTGAGCAATGCTTTTCTCTCACCAAGAAGAACCTTTATCAGACTTTTAGCAGAGAATATTGATAGCACAGGCACTAAAATCAACAATTAATAAGTAGGAGCTCATGGAAGTAAGAAGCTTCTGCACAGCAAAGGACCTGGTCGTTTGGACAAAGCTACATCCTGGAGAATGAAAAAAGGTTTTTTACCAACTGTCCATTCAATAGAGACCTAATAACCAAAGTATATAAAGAACTCACAAAACTGAATTTCAATAAAATAACCCAATTTGAAAATGAGGTATAGATCTAAATGAAAAAAAATTCTCAAAAAAAGGAAACTCAAATGACCAAGAAACACATAAATAAATGATCAATATCCTTAGTCTCAGGGAAATGAAATCCAAAGTACATTGAGATTTCATTGTATACCTGTTAAAATGGCAAATGTCAGAAAATAAGCAACAGCTCATCCTGATGAGGATGTGGAGTAAAGGGAAAATTCATATGTGGCTGGTGGGTGTGCAAGCTTGTACAACCACTGTGGAAATCAAATGAGGTAGTTCCACAGGAAGATAGGAATCAATCTCTTCCAGATCCAGCTATACCACTCTGGGGCAAACACTCAAAGGATGCTTTATCCTGCCACAGAGATGGTTACTCACATATGTTCATTGCTGCTCTAGTCATAATAGCCAGAGATTGGAAACAAACTCATGAGATGACTGGATAAAGAAAATGTGGAACATTTACACAATAGACTATTACCCAGCCATTAAAAATGAAGCTATGAAATTTACACGTAAATGGGCGGAACTGGACAAAATCATCCTGAGTGGGATAATGTAGATCAAAAAAAAAAAAAAAACCAAATAAGGTTATATGTGAATATTAGCTGTTAAGTCAATGAAAACCAAGCTACATTCCCTAGAACCCCAGAGGTTAGGTATAGAGTAAGGGACTGGAGGGACACTTACATCTTGCTAGGAAAAAGAAATGAAATAGACAGTTATAGGTGTATGGGGAGGGACTGGAACAGGAGAAATGAGTTAGCAGAAGGAGGTAAGGTGAGGGAGGAAGGGAATATAGAGACCTACAGCTAAAATTAAGGGCCATTTGATAGGTAGTGTGAAACTATAATGCAGTAAAAACTTTGTAAAATATATACATATAGGAGGTAACCAACATTACCAAAAACAGGAGAGAAAGAACCTCAACTAGACATCCCTTGTCATCAAATGAAACTTCCAGCACTGGGGTTGGGTTACATTTAATAGGATTGTGGTCCAAAGGAGTTTTATTGGAACCCCCAAACAACCAAAGCTGATGCCAAGACTGTAAGTTGCTCTCCACAGACTGATGTCAAGGCCTGATTGCTGAAGACAACACCTAAACAAACTACTGAACACAGAGAAGTCAAGATGGTGACTACATAGAGCCTTCACCCCTATGTGCTAGTGTCATTGGTATGGGAAAGTACTCTTCAATTACCAAAGGAGAAATGTAAACTCCAGGTCAGCCACAAAATGCTTTGATCAACAATGGTATACTCCCTGAAAAATATCCAGTGCAATGGTGGCACAAACCTTTGTTGTGCCTATGAGGGCAACCATCCAACATTTGATTTGACTTAAGATCCACTCCACCAGATGGACCCCACACCAAATTCTTGGGTCACCAAAACCTGAGACTAGATAGCTCAAAACCAAATATTATTGTTCTAAAAGTGAGTAGTAATATAATAACATTCTGCTGTACTCATACATCAGTTCTTTGTTTAGCCATCATCAGAGAAACTTCCTTCTGCAATAGATGGAAACAAATATGGAGACCCACAATCAGACATTACCCAGAGAATGAGAGAGAGGTAGGGAAAGAGAGGGAGAGAAGAACACTGAGGAAAATATATTTATTTATATTGTGCTAAGTGCCAGGACTCGTAGAGGCAATAAAAATACATTTAAAAACTCAGCAATATTCAACATGCAAATGCATGCTACTCATTGTCAGGAATACATTCTATTATAGATCTTCCATCTTTGGAAGTTAGACACCTACCTGGTTTGATTTTGCTTCGTTTCTCTATAACTCCGATCAGCAAGCACATGCAAATACATGCGTTGTGTCCTTGGATCAACTGGAATGAATTAGAAGTTGAGGTTTTTGGTCAATACAATCAGCATGCTTTTAGTTGAATGGGTCCTTTCAGAATATCAAGGTGCTTCCTGTGGCCACAATTAGAGCCTCAGCATTTCTAGATTGCTTGGGTCTGAACCACTTATTCACTCTCTTCTGAAAGGGCCACTTGATCCTAAGACCCAACACTAACTTTAACATCTAAATGAAAAAATGTTCATTCCAGTTCAGACAAGTTTTCCCATGTAGCCATTTCACTTAGAGGAGCTAGAAGTTTTCTGTGCCTTTGCTGCTGCTGCTGCTGAGGCTGCTGACCCAGGTTGCTGCTGCTGCTGCTGCTGCTGCTGCTGCTGCTGCTGCTGCTGCTGTAGTGTGTGCGTGTGTGTGTAGGGGGGTGTTACACACACATGCTTTGAGTGTGTACATCTGTGTGTGTGAAAATGTGTGTGCGTGCCACACACATGCATTAAGTATGTATGTCTGTGTGTGTAAGAGAGAGGAAGAGAGAAAGTGTGGATGTGTGTTACACACACAGGCATTGCAGTTATGTTAATTTATCCAAGAACTTGCTTAGGACCCAATCTAGGCACTGGGGGTAGAGGAGACAGGCATCAGGATCGTATTAGTGACGTGACTGAAATAGAATTTAAATAAGTTGAGAGAACTAAACAAAGGAGAACTAACTAATGGGGTCTGAGGATGCAATAAAGTTTAGTTCGAATAAGGATTATCCATTCCTCTGGAGCATAGTGAAAATCCCTGGATTCAGGGTCAGGCACACCATTTTTGCCAGGAGTCTTGAGTAATTTGCTGTGCTACCCTGAGCATCAGTTTTTCTGCTGTGAAGTGGGGGTTGTTTTGCAGCTCCGTACACAGGGTTAGCATGCGCTGCCTATGCTGTGGTCATTAGAGGCCCCTTCATTGTAGTCCATTGGACAGACGGGACAGGAGAGATCAGCTTTTTGTGGGGTTGCATGGGGACAGGGCTTCCATTTGGAAGAGAACTAGGAAAACAGTGCACCTGGGTCAGCTATTGTCCTGCTCCCCTGGGAGCCCATTTGGACAATGGATAGGCTATCTTTTCCCAGCACTGGCTTTGGATATTTTACTGTCCTTACAAGCAGACTGAAGGGCCTGGTCAAGTTACACACGTCTCGAGACTTTTTACAAGGACTCTCAGCATTCAGTGCAACTTCAGGATTCCTCGGGCTCATTTGGTTGTCCAGTCCTGAAAAACATACTGACTTTGGCACTCCTATGCTACCTAAGATTTCTTCCCAAGGGACAAACAAAATGTAGATGCTTGTGAATAACTTATGTCTAACATCCGGGTTGTTTTCCCTTGTAATGACATGATGTCGATACCTTGAATGATGGCTAAACGGACACTACGTCCTACACAGCTTTATAGCATTGAAGCGATGCATGTTCTGAAGGGGGCCTATTAAATGTAACTAAGTACCCTTTACTTTCTCTGTGACTTCCAGCCATAGAGCCAAATCAGACTCGGTGGAGTGTTAAAGGCTCCCTTTAGCCCACCATTTGTGCCTATAGCATCACTCCTCAGCTACACACTCGAATGTTAACTTGACTTCCCTGAAGTCGCAGAAAGAAAGAGGAAATTGAAACTCACCCCTCAGTCCCCAAAGCCCCCAATGGGATGCTAAGGTTTTCCTCACAGAGACCTGCCAAATGGAACACCCATTGACAACACCACTTTCCCAGCGTTCAGTGCTGGCTGGGTTGTTACAGAAAAAGGATGGAGTTCCAAAGCTTGTGTGTCTTTGTTTCTTCCAGGAGAGAAGCCCTACAAATGCACGTGGGAAGGCTGCACCTGGAAGTTTGCCCGTTCGGATGAACTGACCAGGCATTACCGCAAACACACGGGAGTGAAGCCATTCAAGTGCGCAGACTGTGATCGCAGCTTCTCAAGGTCAGACCACCTGGCGCTGCACCGTAGGAGGCACATGCTGGTCTGAGGAAGGCTCCCATCCAGCTAGGCATAAGAGCTGGGTCTCTTGAGGAGCAACTAACTCAGCAGGGCTGAGCCCCCTCTACAGTGTTAACGTCAAGGGCACCGTCATCCCATGGTGTCTGAAACCAGAGCAGGAACAAGAAGGAACCCTTCCCCTTTCAGCCTGAAGGTAACCCCCCATCATGACCACGCGCAAGGGAGCTGTCTGTGAGCACGCTGCCTGGGAGTTCAGCGCCTCGGGTCCTGAAGAGACAGGCATTGTTTTTCATGCTATGTCCTCTGCCACTGAAAAGATGTTTGTAGCTTGTACATTTTCCGAGCTGGCAGACACTCTGCTATCAATCCCTTACAGGTCATCTACCAAAAATTGATGGTTAGAGAAGACCTCAGTTTGGATGATTCTTCCACGGCACCTCCCCAGCCCAAACCCTTTAGACAAAACTTTCAGTTCCTATCTCAGTAAGCCAGAACACACATCCAGCCCGGTACCAGCAAGCAGCATGAACTAGGAAGGAAGGGGCTTTTGGAGATGCTCCATTCCCCAAACAGAAAGGCACACAGAAATAGCCCTCTGTGCTAGCCATGGCGGACCTAGATAGCACTCACACCTTGTCCTCATGCCATCCCCCGAAGAGAACCAACATTGAGTCTTTTCATTTGTTTGTCGTTGCTCGTTTTTGTTCTGTTTCAATTATGTTTTGTTCATCTGTTTCAGCAGAGGAGCAGAGCAGTTTCTCAAAAGCTAGTCCTGCTCTGCCCTAGCATGGACTGGCAGAGGTGTTGTGTAGTTGAATAGGAAGAGCCTGTCTAAAATAACAATAACAACAATAATAATCATAACTACTGCCCCACTTTTCACATTGCAGTGTTCTGTCACCTAGGCATCATCTCTGCCTGCCCTTAGTGTTTGATTACAAGGAATCAAGGGGGAGGGGGACTTTCTTAGACACAGTGGCACCAAGGAAAGGGGTGGGACTGCCCATGCAAAGACAGTGCACATGAAAATGAGACAGAGCAGAGATGGAAATAATGCTCCTCTCGGGAAGAAAAGCAATAATGAACAGAAGGACTTTCCTACAATAACTCCACTGAGGACTCACGTTACCAATTTTCGTACTCACTAAAGGGATTGTAAAAAACACCCCGGCATTTCAGATGTCTTAGTTACATCCACAGCACTGAGGTAATCTCTCCGCTGTTTGTTGTCCTACTTGCTCCAGGAGTACCACAATTAAAGATCATGCTCCCCTTTCTCGTTTGAAAACAGTTATTTGGTGACCAGATAGTGGCAGAGCTGAAGATTAACTCTTCAGCCATTCGGTCTGTTTGGAGTGGGCATGAGTCCGTGGAAAGCCCGCCATGGTGGTGCTGCTTCAACTCGGAGAGACAAGGGTCCGACTCTCCCTTGGATTCTTCTCTACACATTTCACTTTTTAAACTGTGCCAGAGTCCCTGTGCTACCACATCGGCATCCACGGGGACAGGCAACCTGCTTATCCTGGAGAAGGATGAGAAAGTTAGGTTCCATTGCCCCTCCCAAGTGAAGAGCCTTTTGTATCTAGCAAAAAAAAAAAAAAAAAAAAATACAGGAAAAGCAATACATCCCCAACAAGCACTCTTTCTAATACAGTAACATATTTTTGTCCCCACTGAAAGCTGTTGTTTTCCCAGCTTTGTGTGGCAAGTGGGCTTGGTGAGATTTTTGTTGTTCAGATTTTTTTTATAGCTTAACTATAAAAGGTCTCCAGCCTAGACCTTTGCAATATATTTCAATGACAGATGCTTGATTTGGGAAATCGCACAAATTAACCTCATAATATTGCTAGCTCCTTTTGAAATGTCTGCACATTCTGAAAGGGGGTCTGGTGACAGAGTTATCCTTTATAGTATCCGCTTCTAATCTGGGTAATTGTATTCTGACAAAGCAAAACTATAAACACTACAAGAAGAACTATTTGTGTTGGAGAGCATATAAAGGAATTTTAATAAATGTTCAGGCAAAAGTATCATGATTTACAGATCAAGTCCCAGCTTCAAAAATATGTGCTCTATATTTTCTGCCAGATCTGAAAAATTCATCAGGCATTTTCCCTCCAACAAGGGCTGCAGTTGTATTGATAAATAGCTTCAGCTACACAGGCTGGTACCCATCAGCCAGTGGGATTTTTTTTTAACCAATGGAAACATTTTTTTAATCTGTACTGTATACACTTCTTACTTCTCATTGCCTGTTATCATTCAGAATAAAAACAGGTTTCCTGATGCATGCCAGCATTAGTAACTGGCCAGGGCAAAGAGCGCAGACAGTAAACAACCATGGTCTCCCCAAGCCCAAGAGCTGGCAGCAGAGCCAGGTTGGCAGGTAGTAGGGGAGTCACTCTATTGAAGTTTAGATTTGGCTTAGTTTGGTCTGCTCTCATCAGAGCCAGTCTCTGTACTGAGAGACATCTTGCAAGTTTTCCAGGTAGACTTCATTGAACTGACAGGCACAGGAAGCTTCCTGAGTGACATCTTGATTTAAATTTAGCACAGAACTAAATGAGTTGCACCTATCAGCTTAGGGAAGACTTGGGGAAGCCAGCTTCCCCCGTGGCTCCCTGTAAGTGGGAAGCATCCTGAGATGGTAAGATCACTGATAAAATCTGCCATCATCACAGCATTCCCCTCCATTTGACTTATCGATATTTTTAGAAAGGATCTAAGCACAAATGAACATGTCCCTGATCTGGCCCAAGAACTGAAACTTACTTGGAACTCATCTGGGGGATGTAGCCAGTTCTCCTTGATGAGTTTCCTAGACATGTTCCTGTGTAACAGCAAGTGGTTTGGGACTGAAGGAAATGGGGTATCCTTAGGCACAGAAAAGCCTCCGCCCATTTCCTGTGCATATCTCGATTCTTGAAAAGCACAGTGCATGATAAACTATCAAAAAGGGGAAAGGACTAAAGGACAGTTTGGCGTTTCCTAGCCAGAGCACACTTGGGCTTCAAATCGGAAGTGGTTCAGCTTGCAGCTAGGGAGATTGTGTATGGGTGGTAACCCCTGGCACACACAACAGGGAGGACTGATTATCTCCTTGCACTGGGAAGACTAATGACAAGGGAACTGGGCTGTTTGAGGGTTTGCAGAGAGTTCCTTATATTCCAATCTTAAGTTGTTTAGAGAGAAAGTTCCCATTCCGCTCCAGCCTCCTGCTGTCGATTGCTTTGGACACTGTTTGATTTTAAGTTCTTTTATGGCATTTAGAAAGAGGTTCCTGATGGCTTTACCACGGAAATTACACTACTGCCTTTACAAAACACATACTGGTTTTGTTTTCAAAAGTCGAGAAACTTTGGGCAGCGGCAGTGTCGTAGCCAATAAGGTTCATCCGAGGCAGGATGATTGCTGATTGAAAAAGTTGAGTGTCAGTTACATGAGTACAATGAGCACTTTTAAATATAACCCTAAAGTTTTAATGGGAAAAAAAGAAGACGAGTCAGGGTAGGTGCTCTCAAAATGCTTCGATGTTTACAAACGGAAGTTCTGGGTGATTAGAAAAGCTATGTTTATTGTGGGTGGGATTTGGAATAATAGCTCATGTAAAGACTGTGTTCATTTTTTTTTTTTTACATTTTTACAACTTGCTTAACTTCAAATTGTCATTTGTGTCTGAAATGGAACCGTAAGTCTGCACTTTGAGATCAGCTCCCTAGAATGATAGCATGTATAACGATAAAGATGCAGTACTCCTTAGTCTGTGCTTTGTTTCTTTTATGTACCAAAGCTGGTGAGGTGAGGCCTTCAGTTGTGCTAGTAAGCCTCTGTTTTCTTATTACGACTGCCTAGAAATGGAGCTGAGATGTTGTCTCAGGCTGTCTTATAGCTTTTATACTGAGAAGTCATAGAACTGAAGCAGTGTCAACACCAGCAACCATGCCGTCCGCATAGAAAGTGTGAACTAATGTTGACGAACCACCACAGGCCCAGGAAGCCTTAAACCTCATAGTTCAGAACCCATTCTCATTAAGTTTATCACATAAATGTATGCCATTGGCCAAAGCTCTTCCTTGACTTTTTCTGAGGTTGCCTATCCCACAGAAGTGATTAGACCTGGTTTAGTCTAGGGAAGAGGTTTGACCAGTCATGTCTTCCACCTTCCATTTCTACTTATTCCCACACTGCCTTTCACTTCCCTGGATGGACCCCCCAATACACGCACACACCGGCACATGCAGCAGCCAGCAGGCGAGTACAATATCCACCAAGGACTTTTTTAAAAGAAACAATTTGTAATGATCCATACTATGTAGAAATGTAAGTTATTACCTGACTAGAGAATCAGCTTATAATACTATGTAACTTTGCCTGCATTTTATAGTTAAGAAATGTATGTATATAAAAAATTTAAAATGCTATATTTTCACAATTTCATTATAGAGTAATGTCTGTTTAGCAAACCATGCCCATTGGTATTTTAAATATGCTAAATACTGAACAATTGCAATAGAAATTCAGATTTTCATAAGAAAATAAAATGGAAGGATACTGCATCTTTAAAAAATAGAGTGAAGCTATTTTACTGTATTCATAACATATGTGATAGTGGAAAAAGTATTTTCAAACACGCAAATTTTACAGAGGTTGTAAATAGTTTGATGCATATGTTGGGCGAAAGCTTCTAGTTTTCATCACAATAAAAAAAAACACTTGTTCAGATATGCCTTGTATATGGATGGTACACACAATTAGTGATGTTGCCATGGGAAATGGTCCCTCTTGTTGATGTTCTTGGTGCTTGGTCAGAATGGAGTGGCCACTTGTCATAGCTTAGCCAGGATGGTTTAAAAACTCAAATGAAGTCATTTTTTCAAATGTGTCACGTCTTTTCTTGAAAAGGGAAAAATGGGGACATGCTTGTTCTAGAAATATCATCTAGCAATCATTCTTTCTCCTCTATTATCTTCCTCCTCAACAAAGTAGTTCTCAGTTGAAAAATACAAATTTGGGTGTTTATTCTTGTTTAAGTTCCGAGGGGTTGCTTTCTGGTATAGGTATATGTTGATGAGGTTAAGGGTATGGGTATTGGCCACATGTTAAAAGAATCTGTAGTGGCAATAGGAAAAACTTAATGCCCATTTTTTTTCAGAGATGAATTAAATGCTGAAAGTGCCTGTCAATGAATATGACCAATGAGATAATCCTATGCTTTCACACAGCAATAATTCTTCATCATACTGGGTTTTTCCTACACAGTTTGAGCACATACAGAGAGTAAATATATGCACATAGTAAATTAAATCTGTTCCCACAAACCCACAGAAAAGGGCTTTCATCACTTTGAAGTATCCCCAACGTTACTTGCAATTAATATCTCTTCATTTAATTGCTCTTACTTGAATAAGATTGGGTGAATATGAAAATAAAGTTATCTTCACTGTACATGACAATATATAACAGCTGCAATGTTCAGATTAAGTGTACCTCAAACTTATAATGGAGCATGTATAGCTCAGAAAGGCTTGCCCAGATTAAAAAAAAAAAAAAACAACAACAAACAAAAAACACTGATGCACTTGGAGCAAAATGGTGAGGGAATTTTGTCTGCTTGGTTTGAGCCACTTAGAGTGGTGAACACGTCCATCTTCCTGTGCTTCACTCTCTTTTCACCAAATGTATCCTGGAATCACCATGAAGCATATGGAGGTGAACGCAGACCAATTATTCCATTTCCCTCCTCTCCCCTCTCCAAATCTTGTGATACTTATAAAGGCCTTCAGACAGTTACTTAGTTGACCCTGGCAGTCACCTCCTCGAGGACATTCCAAAGTTGTTTTTCTAAAATTGTTTTATGGATACAAATGGAGTCATGGATAGAAATAAGCAATGAGACTGTAGATAGACATGGACCCAGCGTACTTGCCAGCCTTGCTATCTCAGAGCATGAATTGATCCAGACAAGCTGTTGAGTCTACCAGCAAAGCTATACCAGAGCCAAACACTCGGTGTGAATGGTTCATAACGTACGGCTGTGAACAAGCCATCAGGCTTTAGACAGTGTGATACTGCAATAGGCAGCATTCTTCAGGCCCTGACCTCAGATCTAGCAGACCATCCACTATTTACCCTACTCTGTTTCAGAAAGGAAGGATGAAAACGAGTGCATCAGCAGAGAGAGGCAGATTAGCAAAAAGGTGTCACGTCAAAGCACAGCTACTGCGTTCCCAGGTCTCACTGACATCAAACATGGTCTGAAAGTGCTGAAGTATCCTGTGGGGTTCAAAGCTCATGCTGAGTGTGCTACACTAAGAATTCTAACACGGTCCCTCCAGTCTGTACCACCGTTCTCCCCTTCGTGGATGGAAAAGTGAGTCTCAATGAGAATGACTGGGATGTCCATGGGCACAGAATAAGTCAAGTGGGCAGAATGGGAATACAAAGCCTCCCCGCCTCACAGCCTGTGTTCTTTGTACTGTAGTGCACACCCCCATTCCCTGTAACCGGCTGCCGTGTTCCCAGTCTCTAACTTGCTTTTGTTATGAGAACCCTGTAGGGCTAATATGGCAGAACATGATCTAGCATACGTTGTGACAGCAGTACAGAGGATCTGACATCAGCCCTTCCTGGAAACTCACTGAGAGATAGTAATTCTAGACAAACATTGAACCAGAGAGTTCCCTGAACCTGTTGATTTCTTCCAAATGTTTGCCCAGAGCTCCTTACTTCTTACAGTCCCCATTTGTTTTTCTCAGTTTACATATTTCTTTGTATGTATAGTAATTTTTTTTTGTCCCTAACGCAGACCTGCTATAACCTGTGAAAGGGTGTCTGTAATCCTCACCTCTGTAGAGCTACTTCAGAGCAGGTGTTCATGGGATAGTGATGTCAGCATTCACGTGACCAGTGGACAGCTCCTTTCCAGAGCTCCCACTTAACAGCACTGTCTTGGAATGTTTTAAATAGTCTCATAAATAATTTGCTTATAGTATTGTTAGTTTGAGTTTTATGCAAGGAGCTGTCTAACATCAGAGAAATGAAATCCTTCCCTTTCTGTGTAGAAGAAAGTCTCTGACAGTATTGATTCATGGAAGCCCTAATGGACTTTGAAAACATTAAGAGTGCCATTTCTCAGAGTGTTTCAGTTTCTGAAAATGAATCTCCTGAATTACGATCTTTCTCCTTGTTATTTGGCTGTGGGAAGAGATAAAAGCTATGTAAACCACGTCTCTTCCATGCTGAAAGCAAGTGTCTATGCCTACAACCTCCTGTAGACTTAGACTCCTGTCACTTAATTGAGTTTCAACAGCAATTATTTCTCCAGTGACAATGCCACCACTTTCAGTGGGATGACAAGAAATGAGTAGTGGGAACAGGCACATCAATAACCTTTTTTTCTACATTTCACCTCTAGAAATCTGAAGTGTTTCAGTGACTCCTGTTGTGACTTATTCTTTCTCAAAAGCAAGTTAGCCAAGTCCTTGACAGAAATTTTTTGTTGTTGTTGAGAAATGAGGGTCTATAGGAGAGAATTCAGCTCCAAAACTATAAGTAAGTGCCCAGTCAATCAAAAACTAAGATATTTTAGGGGATATTTTGACATCTTCCTCTTAGGCTCATTTTATTACCTAAAAAACATAAAATGTTACAGAACATATATTTTTCTCCTACTCTCATTTTTAGCTTTCCCACGACAGAGTTTGTGTTGTATCCAGATCATAGAATATATTTTTTCCTCAAATTATTACATTCAGTGGGAATTGTTGAACTGGGCACTGGTGCCTACATACAAGGCTCTTTCCTATCAACTTGTCTGTGTATAGTTTGTTGTGTTTGAAGGTTCATTTTGAAAACCACCATCTCCCCCCGTGGGATGGCGTGGTGGTTGTATTGTTTTGTTCATGTCTATGTGGGACACATTGCATCACATGACAAACCAACTGTGGATGGATGGACGTGAGATAACTACTTAACAAAACCAGCTTGAAAACATTGTCTTGTGTATTATGTCATCCTGCCTCATAATGCAATTATGTGTGTCATGATCATTTTTTACAAAGAGAAACCAGCAAATTCATGTTTGTCCATAGAAGGATGTACTAGGAATTGTCTGTGTTGTGAAATGGTGAGAACAGACCACCTTTAAGATACCCACCTGCCACTTAAAATGACTTAGTTATAATTAGTAGTAGTCTAGACATTGCTCTTGGTGTGTGTGTTGGGGGGGGTCAGTGCAGACGTCATATTCCTCTGAGTAAATCTCCAAGTCATATCTGAAAAACATAAGAGAATAAAGAAACACATCATCTTTGGCCAAATCAAGCAGGCATCTCTTTGCTTTTCCTCAACACTTAGTTCATCACCATGGTCATTGGATCACATGATATTTCTGTGTAAGAATATGAAAATGTTCTTTAGTTTGCAAAGTGGTTATTCTAGGCTTGAAGCCACTACACAGCAAAGTAAATAGATGGGCTGCTTCTGATTCATTTTGTAGATCTGATCTTACAATAAGACTTGTGGGTGTATGACCCAGAGATCTGAGAGTGCCCAGAGGAGAACCTACTTTATTAGTAAAATCCCCCAATAATGCTGGCAAGCAAATGTATTGAGTTCTTAAATCTTCGTTTGGTTTTTCTGTTCCAAGTTTTAATTGCAAATGAATTCATTTTTTCGGCTTAAAGATCTAATTTCCTAATAGTTTCCTCTGCATTTATATACTCTGTAGTATGTTAGGCAGCTCCTGTTATAAGTTTATTAATATTATGTAAGTGTTGTTCTTGTATTTATGTATAGTGTATGTATTGTAAATATACTCAGAGCTTTTTCTTTTACTGTAAAATGGTGATTTTTTTTTGCCCTATGATAATGAAAAGGGAGACTCTCCTAATGAGGTTCTCTCAGAAGAGTATTCCAGTCTATTCTCAGAGATTTAAATGAACAAGTGTTATCGTTTTCAATGGTGTCTCAGACATATTCTGTTGGTGCATTGCTTTTCTGTATTCAACTTTCCTATGAATTGAGCTGTGAACTGAAATAGAGTTTAAACCTTTATCTGTATGCATTTGTATAATTATCTGAATGAAGGCATGAAGGTTAAATAAAGCATTTTGTATGGAACAAGACTCCCTAATTATTACTAAGGCTGACTCAGGCACTTTGGAAATCATAGCTATTAACCATTCTAATTAAGCCTTTGTTGGAAAAAGTTTTACTGCTTGAATAGAGTAAATTAAAACCTGGGGTAAGATAGAATCTGTGTTTTAAAAAGAATGAGATTGTATTTTGCAACAATGATCACCTAAAAAGAAATTCCTAATATTTTAATGATTAGCAAACTCAAAGGTGGTCCATAAATACCATGTGATACAAAAGATGCATCTCTCAGAGATCAAAATTGAATCCCATGATCTACAATTTCTTCAGACTTTGTGTGTCATAAAATGATTCATGGAGCATGCATAGGGGAGCTGATCTCTTTATTTTT